TCTGTTTTTTGATTGATTTACGTCCATTCTCGCACACACACCCAAGAGAAACTGATCACAGATTTGAATCTCCCGACCCTGATTACTCTTGGTAATACTTGATAAAAAGTCGTCACATAAATATAGGTGTACACTTGATTCTACACGTGCAAGCAAACAAATTCATTTTATTTCATATAACATTAATTACCATGCTTCGTTGACTATGATAGGCTCAGTGAAATGAGACATAATTTCTTGTCTTTTTGCTCGATCATTTGATAGGAAGTATATTAAAATAACGATTTTCTGATAATAAAAGCAATGATTGACGTATGTGAATAAGTCATGGCTTGTCAACAACAAGGAATTCGTTTCATTGAAAATTTTATTATTATCTGGATGGACTCAAAACTTCGTCGCAGAAGTAGAACGGATGATAATATTCAAACATCGATTATAACACTCCGACATATTGTCAATGAAATCAGAATATTTAATACGTGTGAATCATGTATCGATTTTATTGGCAATAAAGTGCAAGAAGAAAAGATCTTTTTGATTGTTTCGGACTCGTTGGGACAACAACTAGTGTCTAGCATCGAAAAATCAAAAGTATCTTTACAGATATTCAAGATATTTGTAATCAACTCAAGAAAGATATAAAACATTGTCAGCACGAATTGACTTCTATTGAGACACACAGTTCACAAACATCAAGGATTTCTAATCATCTTGATGCATCATTCGTGTACCCACAATTACTCAAAGATATTATACTCAGTATAGAATATGATAATGCAATTCGTGAACAAGCGGGAAAATATATTATTGATTTTTGTCGAATTTACTATGCTGGGAATAATACAGAATTGTCTGTAATCGAAGAATTCAAGTAAAATTATAGCAATCCATCTTCTACTTGGTGGTATACACGTGAATGTTTTATTTATTCAATGCTAAATCGAGCTTTATGTAAGCAAGATATGGAGATTTTGATCAAGATGAACTTCTTTATTTATGATCTTCATCAACAACTTGTACAGCTTCACAAAAACAATGAACAATGATCAGATATTGACTGTCTATCGAGATCAAGGGTAAGTGATCGTACATCATCTCCTCTATCGTTATCTAGAATTTGACCAATCGTACAAATGATACATTTCTTCGATAAAAATCGATACTTGTAGGAAAAGAACAAACTTTCAACGTGAAACTGTAAATGAGAACACGTCTAAATAGACCTTAAAAAGCAAAAGATGGATTCGAAGAACTGTGAAAAATTGAGAAAAGAATTTTCTTTCGTTCATTCTGTACGAGGGTGTGGGTGTAAGTGTGGGGTGTGGGTGTGGATGTGGTGGGTATGGGTGTTCTCTTAACTCACACCCACACCCTTATATATGCGAATGAATAAAACCTCCGGAACTAACTCCTCACCGCGTCCTAAGGGGCAAAAAGAGGACATCCGCAGGGCCTAAGGAGCGGTTCCTTAGTGCGCTCAAGGATGAATTTTTTTAGACAGATTGATCAAAATCAATCTATCATGAACTTCACTTTTCGAGTACATAAAAATATCGTTGGCTCTATGGAGAACAAACAAATATCACCCAGACACACTATCAAGGTATATGACTTTTTCATGCTTTTTCGCACGTGTGATATTGAAGAAATACTAAGCGCAGCATACCTACCCCTATTATTTTGCATCATTTTATAGCTCTTGACGAGTTCTATCTACCCTGAAAAAATTAGTATTGGTAATATGGAAAACAAACAAACACCATACTGACACATTGTCAAGATATATGAGTTTTTCATAGTTTTTCGCCACTGTGATACAGAGGAAATCTTGTGCGCAACCTATTTACCCATATAATTTAGCATCATTTTGCAGCCCATGGAATTCTTTATCTAATGGTATATGATAGTTGAAGATTTATTTTGATTATGGAGAAAATTATAAAAAAATTAGAATGGGTCACTATTTACGTAGAAAATAAGGATATTCTTTACCGTAACTCAGCAAATCCTTAACGGATTGCTCTCATCTTCGAACTCGACTGAGATATTGATGAGATCCTTCTATGTACAATATTTCATGACAATTGGATGAGTCTTTCAAAGTTATCATGTAAACGGACGGACGGACACAGTGGTCGATTCTAGAGTGTACACACTTTTTGAGTACACAAAAATCAAAGATGAAAGTGTCAAAATTAAAGAAAACAGGTTTGATTGAAATGTTCATTCCACTTTATCATTTTCATCCAAATGATAGCGATGTCAGTCATTCCAGATGGCCATGTTTATCATCTCGTTTTTTTTTCTTCATCTTCATAAAGCAAAAAAAAGTATGCGTCACTGACATACAACGTGATACCGATGCTCTTATCTGGAACGCGTGACTAAGCAGAAAAAAATGTTTATATACAAGTGCTGTTAACCATGGTCATCATTACAGTTATTATCAAGTTCTATTCAACTACGTGACGAAGTATATCGATAATGAAATCTTTAATTCTTTTATGTGTCGTTCTTATAACTGGATATTGTTTCCCAACGTCGAATGAGTCTTGGTCTTTATTCAAACGTGTTTTTAAAAAAAAATATTACTCCAATGAAGAAGAAATAAATCGGTTTGTTAAAATTTTAATTTCAAAAAAATAATAAATGAATTGTATCAATAGTCGTCAAATCTGGGAAGAAAATGTGGCAATGATTCATCAACATAATCTTGAATTTGATCTTGGCCTTCATAGTTATACACTTGAAATGAATCAATTTGGTGATATGGTAAATACATAGAAAAAAAAATAGACAGAATCTGTTTTTTTAAATATTTTGTTTCAAAGACAAATGAAGAATTTCGAAAACAAATGAATGGATTTAAAATGGTTTCAGAGAACGAAAGAAATCCAATTAATTATCAAACATTTTCAGCACCAGCAAATCTTGTTTTACCAGATAGTGTTGGTAAATTAGTTCCTTTTGTTGTTATTATTATGTTTGATGTATCATCTACTTAAAAATATAGATTGGCGTACAAAAGGTTATGTAACATATGTAAAAGATCAAGGTCAATGTGGTTCATGTTGGGCTTTCTCCACAACTGGTGCGCTTGAAGGACAACATTTTGCAAAAACATCACAACTTGTTCCACTTTCCGAACAAAACTTAGTTGATTGTTCATTGCTGAATTTTGGATGTAATGGTGGTAATCAGGATCTTGCCTTTGATTATATTAAACTCCATCATGGAATTGATACTGAAGAGACTTATCCATATATGGCTGAACGTCAACTCTGTCAGTTTAAGAAAAAAAATATTGGTGCTAATGTTACTGTAAATATTTTTATCTTTAAA